TCCATCTGCCACTTCTCAGCCCAGCTCTGCATCCTATCAATGTCTCTTTGTAACCTAGAACAGCCCTCTGCACTATCCACAACTCGACCCACCTTCATACGGTCCGCGAACTTACTAATCCATCCTTCCACTCCTACATCCAAATCATTTACAAAAATCACAAATAGAAGAGGACCCAGAACAGATCCTTGTGGTACACCACTTGTAACTGAGCACCATGTTGAATATTTTCCGTCCATTACCACCCTTTGTCTAAGGGTCATCCAATTCTGAATCCAATCTGCCACATTTCCCCCTATCCCATACCTCCTTACTTTCTGCATGAACCTACCATGCGGAACCTTATCAAACGTCTTACATAAATCCATATATACCACATCCACTGCTCTACCTTCATCCACGTGTTTGGTCACCTCTTCATAGAATTCAATAAGGTTTGTGAGGCATGATCTACCCCTCACAAATCCATGCTGATTATCATGAATCAAACTGTGCCTATCCAAGTGATCATAATTCCTATCTCTCAGAGCCCTTTCCAATAATTTGCCCACCACTGACATAAGACTAACTGGCCTGTAATTTCCGGGGTTATCCCTATTCCCTTTTTTGAATAAGGGAATGACATTTGCCATTCTCCAATCTTCTGGCACTATACCCGTGGACAGTGAGGACGAAAAGATCATCGCCAAAGGCCCTGCGATCTCTTCCCTCACTTCCCATAGAATGCTTAGGTAAGTCCCATCAGGCCCAGGGGACTTATCTATCTTCAAGTTCTTCAAAATTCCTAATACCTCTTCCTTACTAACATCGACCTCCTCTAGCCTACCAGCCTGTTTCACACTGTCCTACTCTACAACTTGGTCCCACTCAGTTGTGAATACCGATGAAAAGTATTCATTACGGACCTCTCCTATCTCTTTTAGGCTCCGTGCACAAATTCCCTTTTACAATCCTTGATCGGCCCTACCCTTTCTCTGGTCATTCTCTTATTCCTGACGTACATGTAAAAAGCCTTGGAGTTTTCCTTGATCCTATCTGCCAAGGCTTTTTTATGCCCCCTTATAGCTCTCCTAAGCCATTTCTTCAGCTCCTTCCTGGCTAACTTGTATTCCTCTAGAGCTTTTACCCGATCCTGGTTTCGTAAATCTTATACAAGCATTCTTCTTCCTCTTAACTGGTCATTTGACCTCTCGAGAACCAAGGCTCCTTCACTCGACCACATCTTCCCTGCTTGCTAGGGACAAACATATCGATCACACGCAGTATGCATTCCTTAAACAATCTCCACATTTCTATCGAGCTCTTCCCTGACATCTGTTCCCATTTTATGTTACCCAGTTCTTGCCTAACAGAGGGGACATGAGGAAAAATATCTTTACCCAGAAAGCAACTGATGTCTGGAATTTGCTGCCCAATTTGGTGGTTGAGATAGAACTTCTCAACTAATTTAAAAGGAATCTGGACCTCCACCTGAAATAAAGCGCTGCAACTTGAAAGGTTACAGATCATGTGCTAGAAAGTGGGTTTAGAATGGGTAGCTACTTTATTCAGCCTGGAAGCCAAGGATTGCCCTCTGAAGACATGATTGATAACTCCTGCGTGGAACCCTATCAGCAAATGAGGGGCAGGATATAACAGGAGCCAAATGACCACAAAGGTGATCACAGAACCAGTCACTGGACTACACACTTGAGGTAACTTGACAGATTTGGAGGCATAATTGACTATGCCATTCCAAGGGTGTCCAGAACGGTTCTAAGTTTACTGTGCTCATCACTGAATAAAGGAGTGGAGCTACACGAACAGGCAAGTGCAGAATGATCTTCACCGGAGGAGGAGAAAAAGACAAGACAATGTTGATGACTGCCATCAGAAACCCTGTCTCTTCCTTCAACAGTCAACAATCCAATGACACATTCACACCATTTCCTACTTTTAAAAGCTGGTCATACCATTCACCTGAAGACCATTCTCCATGGCAAATGAGTAATGCAACAAAGTAGGAGTTCAAGTGAAGTGTTTTGTTCATTGATATAAACATAACCATAAAAACATTGTATGCACACCCAAGCAAATCCCCTAATACAACTGATAAATCTTTCTCATCCACTATCTATTGCTTTTTTGTGGTGCAACTTCAGCTGCTTCAGTGGAGCCATCAGCAGGTTTGGTCATTCCCCTTCTTTCATAAATGGGATGCTCTTGATGGAATTCCTCTGGGTTTTACAGCACAGGATGCAACCCCCCACACCGCTCCAGACCAATCCATCTGCATCTATACAGGAACAAATCTAGACATCAGGCTGCAGGCAAAATGTGTGGTTCTGTTGTCAGGGTGGTGTGGGGTGGGTAGTGTTGGTTGGGAGTGGCAGTACTTTTAGACAGGTTCCCACTGTCATGTGATCTAAATTTTCCTTGTTATAATCTGTGTGTACCACCCTTTTCAGAGACCGGGGGGGGGAGAGAGAGAGAGTGCATGCAGTTGGCTGCACGTCACTGAGATTCAGATCAACCAAAGCAATGCTTTACACCATCCTATATCAAGTAGTTAGCAGAGTTTGGGCCAGAATGCATTTGGTGGCCTTCACGTCAGCTTCTCCATCTCAACGCTTTCAACAGAGGTGAACGTTGGTGCGCTCGTACTTGAGATGGACTCCAATAGTCATTTTCCAAGGACATACTCTCTCAAAGTGGTGACAGAAGTGCACACATTTCCTTTTTCACGATGACTCCTGAGACTCAACATCAATGTCCAGCTGTGTGGAGTTGGTTCTGCATCTTACAATGGGGCCTTTCAAATAATGTCTTTATCTACAGTACCTGCTCTTGCTATTTGAGATTAATGCCTTATTACCATAGTTATGTGCTCATCCTGCTCGGAGAACTCCTTTGCATGCTCCCTAATCAGGACTTCCATTCCTTTTAAAGGTCATGTGGGAAATCAAAGAAGTGAGTTATAGTTGAAATAAGGAATGGGTACAAACTGGACACTGAGATATCATGATATGCACACTTAGTGCTAACATCAATTCAACATGAGTGACTGTAAAGTGTCAAGTGACAAGGTAAAATCCAATTCTGTCACTGGGTATGTGAGTCACTCTTATTTTTCCATTGCTGATGCCTCATTTATGTGCCAACTTGTTGATCTCCAAGGTGTCCTCCTCCAATGCTGTTAGATTTGCTATGCAGGTCCAGCTTCAGTTCTCTGCCTCTCCCTGGAATTATGCACTATCACTCCCTGCAGCAAGATAAATCAGAGAATTTTAAATATGAGAAGTAGAATGTGTTGGGGATGGAGGATGCTTGCAGGATGGGAACAGCATGACAGTGAATGTGGTTAACTGTTCAGCTGGAGATATAAGCAGGAGTCGGGAGGGAAAGGAACACATGAAACTGCAATGTTTGTTAGTCAAAGGAGTGTCGTGCAAGAGAATGCAAGGGAGGTGAAATGGATGTCACCTGAAAGTGGTATACACATTGAAACATAGAAAACAGGAGCAGGAGTAGGCCATTCAGCCGTTCAAGCCTGTTCGCCATTCAATACGATCATGGCTGATCATCCAACTCAGTATTCTGTTCCTGTTTGCTCCCCATATGCTTTGATCCCTTCAGCCTTAAGAAACTCTTCTTCTTGAAAACATTCAATGATTTGGCCTCAACCTCTTTCTGTAGCAGAGAATTCCAAAGGTTACCTTTCTCTGGGTGAAGAGATTTCTCCTCATTTCGGTCCTGAATGGCTTACTCCGGTCATCGGAAACAACTATACCCTGTCTAGTCCTGTACAAATTTTATAGATTGCTATGAGAACCCCCTCATTCTCCTAAACTCCAGTGAATACTGTCCTAACCAATCCAGATTCTCTTCCTACATCAGTCCTGCCATCCCAGTAATCAGTCTGGTGAACTTTGTTGCACTCCCTCCATTGCCAAAACATCTTCCTCAGGTAGAGATCAAAACTGCACCCAGTACTTCAGGTGTGGATTCACCAAGATCCTGTACAATTGCAGCAAGACATTCCTCTCTAGAATCTCACTATAAAGACCTACATACCATTTGCTTTATTTACTATCTGCTGCAACTGAATGCTTAGTTTCAGCAACTGGTGTACAAGGACACCCCGATCTCTTTGTACCTCCCCATTTCCCAACCTATCACCATCCAGATAACAACGTCTTCCTGTTTTTGTTACCAGATTGGATCACCTCACATTTACCCACATTTGAATTCCATATTCTAGCACTTGGCCTATAGCCTTGCAGATTACAGGGATTTAAGTGCAAATCCTGATTCCTTTCAAATGTGTTGAGGGTTTCCACTTCATCCACTAAATTGAGAAGTGAATTCCAGACACCACCACTCTCTGACTATCCCTGATTAATTCATACTTTTCCAAGTAACAGTTAATCCCATGTCTCAGTAGTGACTGTTGTAGACTATCAAAAAGACTAAAATAATTTGGCCTATCCCTCACACCCATTTTGAATAGCAGTGTAACCTTTAGAGAATTCCAATCATCTGGTATTTTGCCTACATCTATCTAGTGAGGACCAGAAAATGATCCTCACAGCATCTGCTATTTCCTCCCTGGATTCCTTTGACAGCACAGGATACAATTCATCTGGGCCTGATTTATCCACCTTCAAGGTTAGTCCCTAGAGTATTTCAAGACTCAAAAAGTAATAACAGACTTGAAACATTAGCTCTGTTTCTCTTCACTTCATTCTGTGTCTACAGTGGCTGGGTAGGACCTATTTCCGTTAGTAGAGCAATCAATAGCTAAGGCCATAAATGTAGAAGAAATTGATAGAAAGATTAGAGGGAAGGTGAAAATTTTTTCTCACTGAGGATGCTAGGGTCGAAAACCTACTGATACATAAGGTTGGGAAAGGTAGCAACACCTAATATATTGAAAAATAAACTTGGATGTGCAATTTAACATTGTATGCATGTTTTTGTAATGTACATTGCTAATTCAGAGAAACGTAGAGGTTGCTTACAATCATCTTGACTTCCTCCAGTCCCTGAAAACCATAAAAGAATAGTGTTTTTAATTCTATTTAAAATTTGAAATGATAGCAAACCCTTAATCATGTACCTCAGCACACAAGTTGTTTTATAGCCTCATAAATAGGCATTACTGTTGCTAAGAAGCTGGGATAAAACTGCTAGTCATGCTGATCTCAGCTTTTCAATCCAACTTAAAGTAAGTTATGTACTTATTGGAAATGAGCTTAGTTGGTTCTACAATATTATTTTAAACGATGGTAGTTAGAGAGCTATGTACCTGAATTAAGTAATGCCACATCAGCATGAGTAGCTTCAAGCATGGCATTGGTAACGAGATTCCCTAGACTGCTCTCTGATTTTCTTACTGTAGTAAAACGTCCATCCAGTTCTACCTCTATCTGACATAGCACTTCTCCTAATAGGTGCTGAATAGGTAAAGAAAACATGCAACAAATTAAGATTTCTTATTTGTTTTGTAAATTTCAGTTCATATTAATATATGCATATAAATTCTAACAATTGTAAATTAACCAAAAATCATTTTAAAAATGTTCATAATGGAAATCATAGACAAAATTAAACCATCATCCTTAAATTAATCAGACCTTTCTAATAGTGAAGGTAGTAGCAATGGCAAAAAGCTCCACAAACTAACTAGCAATTTACACCTTAAAGACAGGTTTAACAAGAGCTTTGGGATCTAAATTATGCATAACCAGATATGATATCAAATACTGTAACACTAAGTGATGTTTTAGATTTCACAAAAAAATTCCTTCACTCAGAAATAGCCTAATTAGGTATGCCTTGTTTCACATTCACACGACATTCTCTACGTACTGTATGGAGATCCTACTGGTTCCAGAGAGAGGACCTCAGAGTTTGGGCTGACACAATAGAGCTAAGATCACCCTCAGTGACAAGCATTAATATTCATTAAAGTTATTGCAAGAACATTTTAATAGTTGTCCTGGCATACCTCATTAGCTACCCAAAATAATTCCTACCAATTAAATGAAAATGGAGCATTATACTTAATTATTTTGTCTACTGTATTTTGAAAATGACTGTAGTACATACACATGCATCTATCTGATGCAAAACATTTTACAAAAGCTATTCTCCTGTGAACACAACATAACAATATCTCTGGAGACAATAAGGAATGCAGACGCTGGAAGCTACAGTCTATTGGTGAGAGACTGGAAAAGCACAGCAGTTCAGACAGCATTCGAAGAGCAGGTAAGTCAACATTTCAAGCCAAAACCCTTCGTCAGGACTGGGGAGGGAGAGGGGATCCCAGAAATAAATGGGGAGGGTTGTGGGGCTGGGGTAAAGGTAGGAGAGAAGGTGATAGGTGGATGCAGGTAGGGGGTTACTGTGATTGGTTCATGGAAAGCGTGGAGCAGATAGGCGAGTAGGAAGATGGACAAGTTAGGTCAGGTCAGAAGGGGAAGGGTTGGGAGTGGAGGGATTTTGAAACTGATGTCAATGTTAAGGCCATTCGGCTGTAAGCTTTCAAAGTGAAATACCAGGTGTTGTTCCTCCAGTTTACAGTTGGCCTCACTCTGACAGTGGAGAAGGTCAAGGATGGACATGTCATCAGGGGAGTGAGGGGGAATTAAAATGGATGGCAACTGGAAGATCGGGTTAGTTGGTGCATGTAAAGCACAAATGCTCGCAAACCGGTCCCCAATTCTGCATTTGGTCTCCCCGATATGGAGGAGACCACATCAGGAGCAACAGATGCAATAGATTATTTGGATGAAGTGCATGTGAGTCTCTGCCAGATTTGGAAGGATTGTTTAGGGCCTTGGACGGAGGTGAGAGGGGAGGTGTGAGGGCAGGTGTTGCACCTCTTGCTGATGCAGGGAAAGGTACTCAGTGTGGAGGAGGAATTGGTGGGGAGTGTAGAACTGACAAGGAAGTTACGGAATGAACGGTCCCTGCAGAAAGCGGACAGGGATGGGGAGGGAAATAATTTTTTGGTTGTGGGGACTGATTGTAGGTGGCGGAAATATCAGAAGATGATGCGTTGGATCTGGAGGTTGGTGGAGTAGCAACAATATTCCTATAGAGAGCAGGAAGTCCAAGAGTATGCCGACTCTGTTTTGAATTATTTTACCACTGCTAGGATTGCACCAGGGGCTTGATAATTGCCTTCAGCATCTTTGGGCTAGGCAGCAGATATAACAAGGTATACAGCTGGATGAACACAGAAATCTTTCTGAAGGAGGGTCTAGGCCCGAAACGTCAGCCTTCCTGCTCCTGTGATGCTGCTTGACCTGCTGTGTTCATCCAGCTCTACACCTTGTTATCTCAGATTCTCCAGCATCTGCAGTTCCTACTATCTCTGAAACAATTTTAACCCCACTGCGAAGCCTCTTCTAAGGATGCCTACCCTGAAGAAGTTACCCTCCTCCCCATTTCTGAAGAAGGGTCTAGGCCCGAAACGTCAGCCTTCCTGCTCCTCTGATGCTGCTTGGCCTGCTGTGTTCATCCAGCTCTACACCTTGTTATCTCAGATTCTCCAGCATCTGCAGTTCCTACTATCTCTCTCAGACTCTTTCATTGTCAGGTTCAGAATAATGGTTATTTAGGCAAACTATATACCATTATCATCAGGAGGGTTTTCACATTATCATCAGCATGTTCAGAAATGCAAGAAGGAGTATGGGAGTGGGGGCAAGCATTTTTTTAAAATCATATTATTCAAACAATGAGTTCAACAGTTGCCCTGGGCTGCTTTCCGCATACCAGGTTTGAAACAGCAGAAACACCAAAAAGTGGGATTCCAATTAACATAAATGAGCATTTACATGGTCAGGTGTCTCTATGAACAGCACATCCATGAAGTTCTGGCCGTTCCCAAACCCACACCTGCAACAATCAGAAATGGAGACGGTCTCCATCACAGCAAAAAAAAAACAAACTGGACCTACAGACATAAAAGAAGAATGGAAATGTCATGCTTTGCGTTACATCAATCCTCCATACTTATTTTATTAAAGCCATGTTTGGAGAAGAGTGACTAATATTAAAGGTTGCTTCTTTCCTGTACTATCAACGCATGCATTGTCACAGGGAAGTCAATAAAAGAATCACTGACCAAGCAAAGTGACCCTTAAATGAGCCTTTCCTACCAGCAAAATTCCAGATTGGAAATCGGCAGATTTTAGGGGCCTAAAAGGTAAACCGGAGCAGGTTGATTAGAAACACATTTTGGTAGATAAAATTAAATGAAAAATGGGATAATTTCAAAAAGAGTGATGAATAGGATACAAGCTAGGTATGTGGCATAAATGTGGGGTATCCAAAGCTACAGTACCCTGGATAATGGAGGATATTAATGAGAAAATAAAGAACAAAATGGTGGCATATGATGTATACTGGAACAATAATAACTATAGAAATCAGGAAGAATTTCTCAAATGCAGGAAAGAAGAAAGGTTAACAGAAAATAATGAGGAAAGGGTGGCAGGCTGCACTAAAACAAATAGTAAAATGTTCTTCAAATATATGAATGGTAAACAATCAGTGAAGGAGGGAGTGGGGCCGTAAAGAACAAGCAGAGTAAGCTGCTCATTGAAGCAAGGGTATGGCAGAGGTACTTTGCTTCTGTCTTTACCAAATTAGAAAATGGTGACAATGGTCCAGTTGAAAATGTGGGTACGAAGCAACTGAGCAGTATAGTGATAGATAAATAAGAGGTGCTAAAAAGGCTGGTAGCACTCCACATAGAAGTCACCGGACCTGGATGGGATGCATTCTCAATTGCTGAGAGAGGTAAAGAAGCAAACTGCAGGGCTGTTGGCAGAAATTTTCCAGGTATCTCTGAACAAAGGATCAGTCCAGAGGACTGGAGGATTGCAAATGTGACACCGTTGTTTAAGAAAGTGGCAAAGGATAACCCAGGAAACTACAGATCTGTCAGCTTGATGTTAATATTGGCAAAACTGATGGAGGCCATAATACAGGATAAAATAAACATACACTTGTGACTAAAATAAATGAATACTTGAGAATCAACATGGCTTGGTCAAGGGTAGGCTATGTCTGACAAATTTATTTGAATTCTTTGATGTGGTGACACAGGCAGTGGGAGAGGGTAGTTTCTCTTTCCCTCACTGGTGGGACATGGACATCGCTGACTGGCCAGCATTTTTATTGCCCATTCCTAGTTGCCCATAAGGAAGTGGTTATCAGCTACCAGGTGCTGTAGGCTGACCCACAATGCCTTTAAGAAGGGAATTCCGGGATTCTGATCCAGCGAAAGTGAAGAATAGCAATATATTTCCAAGTAAGGGTGGTGAGTAGCTCAGAGGGGAACTTGCAGGTGGTGGTGTTCCCATGTATATGCTGCCCTTGTACTTCTCAATGGAAGTGATAGTGGATTTGGAAGATACTGTCTAAGGATCATTTGTGGATTTCTGCTGGGCATCTTGTAGATAGTACACTGCTGCTAGTGTGCGTCAGTGGTGGAGAAATTGGATGTTTGTGGATGTGGTGCCAATCAAGCAAGCTGCATCGTCCTGGATGGTGTCAAGTTTCTTATATTGTTGGATTGCCACACATCCAGGCATGCGGGGAGTATTCCACCACATTCTTTACTTGTGCCTTGTAGATGATGGACAGGCTTGGGGGAGTCAGGTATTAAGTTACTCACCGTAGTATTCCCAGCCTCTGAACTGCTGTTATAGCCAGTGTTTGTGTGACGAGTGCATTTGATTTTCTGATGAATGGTAATCCCAAGGATATTGATAGTGGGGGATTCAGTGATGGAAACACCATTAAATATCAAGAGGTGGTGATTAGATTGTCTCTTATTGGAGTTGGTTATTACCTGACATTTGTATGGCGTAAATGTTATTGCCACTTGTCAGATTTGTTTCATTTGAACATGGACTGCTTCAGTACCTGAGGAATCGCAAATGGTGCTGAACACTCTGCAATCATCAGCAAACATCCCTACTTCTGACCTTATTATGTAGGGAAGTCACTGATGAAGCTGAAGATGGTTTGGCTTAGGACACTACCCTGAGGAACTCCTGCAGAGGTGTCCTGGAGCTGAAATGACTGACCTTTGACAACTACGACCATCTTCCGATGTGCCAGGTATGACTTGAACCAGCAGACAGTTTGCCCCTGATACCCATTGATTCCAGATTTGCTAGGCTTCCTTGATGCCACAGTCAAATGCAGCTTTGACTTCAAACACTGTCACTCTCACCTCACCTCTGAAATTCAGCTCTTTTGTCCATGTTTGAACCAAGGCCATAATGAGTGCTATGGACATTGTATATTTACACTTTCAGAAAGCATTTGACACAGTTCCACGTGGCAAATCAGAAATGTTTAAGATTCATGGGTTCTTGACAGCTTGGATGCCAAGTTGGCTAAAAGATGGTAAACAGAGGGTAGGTATAAATGGGCATTTCTCAGACTGGACACAAGTTGAAAATGGAATTCCCCAGGAACCAATGTTGAGACTCTTGCTTTTTCTCATTTATATAAATGATTTGGAGGTGATTGTTGAAGGCAAATCTTTAAATTTGCAGATGATACTTAGCACAGGAAAATAGTGACTCGTGAGGATGACGCTGAGTGACTTCAAAAGGGACACTGACAAGTTGGCCAAACGGGCAGACACCTGGCAGATGAATTTCAATGCAGAGAAATGTGGCATCATGTTTCTTCTACGAAAATACATGGACAGACAATTCAGACTCAATGGTACAACCTTGCGGGGAGTTCAAGAGCAGGGCGACCAAGTGCATAATTCTAGTAAGGTGGCCAGGCAAGATGAAACAGTTGTTAAGAAGGTTTATAGTTTTTATAAATAGAGGCATAGAGTGTAAATGCAAAGAAGTAATGCTACACCTCTACAAATCATTCATCGGGCCATATTTGGAGTACTGTGTTCAGTTCTGGGCATCTTATTTAAGGAAAGATGTGAAAGCAATTTCACATTGCAAAGGAGATATATTAGAATGATACCAGGAGCAAGGGATTTTAGATACAAGGAAAGATTACAGAAATTTGGCTTATTCTTCTTGAAACAGAGAAGATTAAAAAGTAACCTTACTGAAGTGTTCAAAATTCTGAACAATTTTGTCAGGGTAAAGGAGGATATTCTGTTTCCTCTCGTTAGTATGTCAGTAACTGAGTCAATTTCAAGATTGTCAGCAAGAGAGCTAAGAGTAAGATTGTTAGGATTTGAAATGCCTGGGAGAATGGTGGAGATGGATTCCATTGGAGGTTTCAAAAAGAAGAGAGCTGTATGTAGATTTAAAAGTGATTAATTTCAGAGGGCTACACAGATAGGGCTGAAGAATGGGACTAGCTGGGTACCTTTCAGCAGCCAGTACAAACATGATGGGTCGAACAGACTTCTTCTGAACTGTAATGTCTATGATTCTATAAACAAAACTGTGTGGTTTCTACGGCAAAATTAAAAAGGAAAACTAAGTTCCTGATTTTGATTTTAAAAAGAAAAAAATGGAAAAAGAAATCTATTGCGTGGTCTAAGAACCAACACCCTCGCTCTCAGCACACTCACTTTGTCTACCTGAATCTTATTAATTTTCCAAGCCAAGACAAACATAGATAAGAAACGTTGTCCATAAGATCCTGAAGCTACAAAATAAATGAGGTTAAAAAGCAAATTCACAAACCCAGTGTCTTGCTGAAAAATAAATCCAATCTAGCACTATGAAAGGCGCCAAGAAGTATTGTCCTGCCTCTGAACCTGTCATTTCAGATTTTTGCGGGAACAGGGTTAGCACAGCACCAGCTTAATGTGTGCAATTCGCACAGCTAACTATTTAAATGATCAATTATGTCCTTTGAAAGTCTATTTGATAATCCTGCTGTTTGAAACCTGGAGTGCGAAGAGCAATGTATATTTCTTAGTCTGTATATGATCTCTAGGTGGCCGTTGTTTTAATGAAGTTATTTTGGATAGCCAGGGTACCTTTGGAGGGCAGAGTGGTGGGGGCATTTTCTCTTCATGGGGCTAGTTGCCCTTTCAGATTATTAAAAGTATACATGAATTTGCCCAAAGAGTGCATAAACCCATTGGAACTGTTTTCATAAGAGACTAGCTCACGAGATGTCAACATATTGATTTTTTTTTTTTGCCAGTTAGAGTTTTGTTTTTAGAAAATGATGGCATTATTTTATGTCAGCATGATGGAGTGGCTGAGTTAGCACAATGGTGGAAGGAAAAGTTGGCTTTGGACCGTAAAGGGACTGGGTAGTGGGAATGCAAGTACAGGTAAGCATAGTATCTAAGAAGGTCTAGGGTGAAGATAGAGGCAAATAGGGTGCATTAAGGGGTATGCAAGAACATGGGGAGTCATTGACAGGCATAGAAGACATCAACTCCATGGTCCATGTGGGTTAGGTAGAGGGGCATAGGGTGGATATAGTGTTTGAGGTGGCATGGGGTGGGTGGAGGAGTGGTGTGAGTGGTGAGGGATGGAGGGATATTTTGGGTTTTGCTAATTCTTATGAAGCTGCAGTACAGTGCCAGTGTACAGGGGTGGGCCTTGCGCCCAGCCATACCCACAGCTTGCAGTCTCCACCCCACCTCCATTCTCAACACTAGGGTGAAGGATGGGATGCAGTGGAGTTTGCCCCAGTTTTATGGATCATTCTCAGTACATTCTCAGAAGCAAATGTATCACCCTAACAAAATTTAACACCAATGTGCACTTTATACAAGTTTTTTAATGCGCTTATGTAAATCTGCAGAAATCTTTGAAGAATCAATGCTCCTAACACTGACTCCAAGAGTACATGCCACCCATTTCTAAACTTTCCACAATACAAGCAAACCAGAATTAACCTTTTGTTTCCCATCAAACAAATTCCTATCCTTCAAATATTTCTGTAATACTTTTTTAATGCTTTCATTGGATAATGCCAAATTTTGAAAAATCAAAGGGGAAATTTTTTGAAGAAATAGTTTTCAATTTTGCCTAATAAGATATCTCTTTTACTTTGTAGCTTAGCATGTAAAGTGTTTTGTGCAAGAGTATTTTCTATCATTAATTAACATTGATCCATTATCTGAACACTAAAGACAGTTGTAACATATGTATGTCAGCACAACGACAAACTACGTTCCAGCAAGCTCCTTCAATATTCTCATAAATAGATGGAAGTGGATCATATGATAATTACAATGGCTAACATACCTCCAGATTAAAAGTAAACTCTTGGACAATGTTGTTCACAAAGGTGTCTTCCTCCAACTCTTTTGTAATTTCTATCTTCTGAGTGGTACATTGGTAATTATTCTCACCAGTTCTTGTAATATCAACTTTACTTAGGCTTCGAAAATCTGATCCACTTTTGATAATGAGAGTGCCATTAACTTCTTTGGTGCCGTAGTCATGATCATGGCCTCCTAAAATCAGGTTCAATCCATCAGCATTCCTTGCAAGTCTTATATCATTACTCCATTTCATGTGTGTCAAAGCAATTAGAAGTTCTGCACCTTTGGCTCGAAGTTCTTGAGAAAGTTGGTCAGCAACAATGACGTAATCGATAAAGTTCACACTTGACTTGTCAATTGTAGCCAAAGTATCAATCCATTCTTCCTCCACTAAGCCCATTAAGCCAACTTTTACACCATTCCATTCTATTATCTTGCTTTGTATGCCATGCCCTAGTGGCTCAGAAGTAAATAAATCATAGACATTGCTGAGCAACCAAGGGAAATTCATCTCTGATATAACGTCCTCCAGCAGGTCAACTCCAAAGTCAAATTCATGATTTCCTGTAAGCAGAATATACTGATGGTTGCTAGTATTGTCAGATACTCAGATTTATCAAAATAGCATTAGATTCAATAACGAAGAGAGGGTGACTTATAAAATCTTGCACATAGTTCCTCTCATTATTCATAAAACGTAAGGCAAATAAAAAAGTAATTGACAATAGTTATTACTCTGAAGAAAATTTATAGAGGTTAACTTCAAAAAACAAACAGTCAGGAGAAGTTAAAGGCTACCAATTTTAAATGGATTAAATTTACTTTATATGCTTCAAACTGATTATCAACAAATTTTAAATTGGTTTGTCCCCATATTTTCCTTTCCTAAAAATATTCTAAAATAGCCGTAATCAGAACTGTTGGTGGCACTGCTTGGCATGAGAAACCAGAATGATTTTGTTTGTGGATGATAAAATGGCCATCACTACAAATTAAAAGTTATCAATTCATGAAAAGTAATTCCAAAACTATTGCTCTATTTAAAATGTTCAGCCCACCTAATTGCCTTCAGTTGTCAATGACATATTTCAAATGGACATTTCTGACAATGAAACTCATACAATAATCATGGAGCAAAGTAATAGTGCTGGAATACTGCTGCATAAAGTTTGCATGTCCCTTTAAGCAATGAGGTGCTTGCAGTGGAAAGTGCTATAAATATACCAATCCTCATTTCAATCACAGGATATAGATCGGCAACTGCTTATAAAACTCAAACTCCTATAGCCCTGGGGAAAGTTATAAATGTCAGAAAGAAAAACGTGTTATAACCCCAAAGCATGTTTCAGAAAAATCCACTCAATAGAGAAATTAAGAACATTTAAAAAATGCCGAATTTAAGATAATTTTGTTACATGGCTAAGTAGTTGGTTTAGAGATAGGACACGAAGAATAGGGCCAAAGGAAATATTCTCTGATTGGATGGATGTGGGAAAATAATTTCATCACAACAATTATCCCTTTGCTTTTATTCAGGCCATTAACAAAGTCATATTACAATACTTAAATGCACGCAGTACATGAAACAGGGTATATGAGCTTGTAGCATAGATTGAAATTGCCAGGTCTGATGTTGTGGGTATTGTATAGACGAGGGCTGCAAGGGGATCAGGGCTGGGGATTCAATGTCCAATGATACGTGACCTATTGAAAGGACAGGTACATTGGTTTGACGTTGGTGGGGTGGGGGGGGCGGGGGGGGGTGGCGGCAGAGGTGGAGGGGAAGTAGTTTGCCTTGTTAGGAAGAAATGAAATCAAATTGATAGCAGGAAGTGTGAGTTTTTTCTCCTCTGGGGCTTTAGAGGGTGAGGGGCAACCTTACAAAGGTTTATAAAATCACAACCGGCACGGATAGGGTGAATAGCCAAGGTGTTTTTACCCCAGCGTAGAGGAGTCCAAATCTAGAGGGCATAGGTTTAAGGTGAGAGGGAAAAGATTTAAATGCAGATGGGTGGTGCGTGAATGGAACGATCTGCCAGAGGAGGTGGGTACAATTACAACAGTTAAAAGGCATCTGGATGGGTACATGAATAGGAAGGGCTTAGAGCGATATGGGCCAAATGCCAGCAAATGGGACTAGATCAGTTTAGGATATCTAGTTGGCACGGATGAGTTGGACCGAAGGGTCTATTTCCATGCTGTATAAGTCTATGACTCCAAGTGATATATAGTCAGAAAGCACAGAATCTTTGCGGATGGAATTAAGGAACCACAAAAGGAAAATACCTTGATGGAAGTTGACTATATGCCTTCTAGCAGTAGTCAGGATGTGGGCAGGAAAATAAATCAGGAGATAGAATAGGTATGTAAAAAGGCACTATTACTGTATTTGTGGGGGATTTCAATATGCAGATGTACTGGAAAAATCAGATTGGTGGCAGATCTCAAGAAAAGGAATTTGTGGAATGCCTAAGATTTTTTTTGGAGCAGCTCACGGTAGAACCAACTAGGCAACAAAGAATTCTAGATTTGGTGATGTGTAACAAGGCAGACTTGATTAAGAAGTTTAAAGGGAAGGAAGCCCCAGTGGGCAGTGACCATAGTATGATGAAATTGAGGGGGAGAAGCTAGAATCAGATGCAACTGAATACAACTGAGTAAAGAGACACAATGGAGGTGCTGGCCAGAGTTAATTGAAAGGAGAGCCTAGCAGGGAAGAAGGTGGACAGCAATGGCAGGAGTTTCTCGGGTAATTTGGGAAGCACAGCAGAAATTCATCCCAAGGAAGAAGAAATTTAGGAAAGGATGAGACAACTATGGCCGACAAGGAAAGTCAGGGACAGTATAAAAGCAAAAGGATAGGCACACAATCTGTTGAAGATTAGTGGAAAGCCAGAAGATTGTGAAGCCTTTAAGAACTAGCAGAGGATAACTTAAAAAGCAATAAGGGGGAGAAGATGAAATTTGAGAGTAAGCTAGCTAGTAATATAAAATAAGATTGTAACAGTTTTTAAAATATATAAAAGGTAAGAGAGGCAAAAGTGGACATTGAGCCAGGAAATAAGGCTGGAGAAGTAGCAATGGGAACAAACAAAGAACAGAGGAACTGAATGGGTACTTTGCATCAGTTTTCACAGTGAAAGATACCAGCAGCGTACCAGAACTTCAAGACAGTCTGGGGCCAGGAGTGAGTGTAGTGACCATCACGAAGGTGGTGGTTCAGGGGAAGCTGAAAGGTCCAAAGGTGGATAAATCACCCAGACCAGATTGACTACACCCCAGAGTTCTGAAGGAGATAGTTGAAGAGGTTGTAGAGGTGGTGATTGGTGGTGATCTTTCAGAAAGTATTGGAGTCAGGGAAGGTCCCAGAGGACTGAAAAACGGCTAATGTGATACCCCTGATTAAAAAGGGCTGGAGGCAGAAGACAGGAAACGATAGGCCAATTAGCCTCACCTTGATCTTTGGTAAGAATTTCAGGGTCCATTATTAAGGATTAGATTGAAGAGTACTTGGAAGTGTATGATCAAATGGGGTTGAGTCAGCACAGTTTTGTCAAGGAGACATCGTGCCTGACAACTCTGTTAGAATTCGTTGAGGAGGTAATGAGCAGGGTAGACAAAGGCGAGCCAGTGGATATGATCCATTTGGATTTCAAGCAGCATTTTGACAAGGTCCCACACAATAAGAGCCCATCCATGGCATTAGGCGCAAGGTACGGTATGGATAGAGGATTAGCTGACTAGCGGAGGGCATAGAGTAAGGATAAATGTGTCTTTTTTGGGAAGGCAGCCAGTGGTTAGAGGAGTTCTGCAGAGGTCCGTGTTGGGACCATAACTATTCACATCATACATTAACTGTCTGTACAAAGGAACTGAGGGAGTTGTTACTAAGTTTTCAGGGGACACAAGATAGGTGGAGGGATAGGTGGTGTTGAGGAAGCAGAGAGGCTGCAGAAGCACTTGAACAAGCTACGAGATTTGACAAGATGAAACACAATGTGGGAAAGTGGGAGGTTATGCACTTTGCTAGGAAGAATTGAGGCATAGACTATTTTCTAAATCAGGAAAAGCTTTGAAGATCAGAAACATAAAGGGACATGGGAACCCTAGTTCAGGATTCTCTTAACGTTACTATGCTGGTTCAGATGGCAGTTAGAAAGTCAAATGCAACGTTTCAAGAGGGCTGAAATACAAGAGCAGAGATAAAGTAGAATCAGAGAATCCCTAGAGTGTGGAAACAGGCCCTTCAGCCCAACAAGTCCACACCGACACTCAGAGCATCCCACCCAGACCGTTTCCCCTGTAACCCAACTAATCTACACATTCCTGAACACTATGGGCAATTTAGTATGGCCAATCCACCTAGCCTGCACATCTTTGCATATTCAAAACCAGAAACTGACAGGCGGAGATTGATGGGTGAAGTCACTCATTCACAGAGCAGAATGATTGATCATAACAGTCCTGGTTTCAAATAGCATAAACTGACAGGGACAGATTGGTAACTTAACTCACCTATTCACTGATAACTAAGCTCATATATTGACTTAACAAAAACTGATAATTACACAAACACGTTCACCAAACAGATGCTGACAGGTACAGATTGATAACTACACGAACATATTCACACCAATGTCTGACGTATTTCTGAGAATTTCTAAGGCCCTGGTCAGACTGCATTTGGAATATTGAGAGTAGTTTTGGGTCCCATATTTAAGGGAGGATTGCTGTCATTGGAAGGGCTCCAGAGGAGGTTTACAAGAACGATCCTGGTGATGAATGGCTTGTCATTATGAGGAGTGGTTGAGGACCGTGGGTCCGTATTCAACGGGGTTTTGAAGGATGAGGGGGGAAATCTCATTAAAACTTACAGAATACTAACAGGTCTGGATAGAATGGACAAGGAGAAGGTGTTTCCACTAGTCGGAGAGACTGGAACCTGAGTCCACAGCCTTAGAGTGAAGGGATGATTCTTTACAACTGAGACGAGGAGGAATTTCTCCAGCCAGGGTGTGGTTAATCTGCAGAGATTGTGGAGGCCAAGTCATTGAGTGTATTTAAGCCAGAGACAGTTCTTGATTAGTAAGGAGATCAATGCTTATGGGAAGAAGGCAGGAGAATGGGGTTCAGAAACATATCAGCCATGATCGAATGGCCTAATTCTGCTCCTATATCTTAGTCTCATGTATTCTGACATTCAAAACTGTTCACGTGGAATTTTTCTCCATTTAGGCCTCAAGTTCTCATCCAACTATTTGATACCATCACATTTCCGTGAACTTACTACTCCATCATATTTTGTTCATGATACCTGCAATCCAGCCTGGTCAAAACTATACCAACTTATGGAAGAAGGAAAAGAACAAATAAAACTATTGACTGTTCACGTAAAAAAATCACAGGATCAGAGTTCTGAATAATTTAATAGTACAACTGGTTGAAGAAAGATAATATGAAAACAATAAAGTAATTAACAGTGTGTGACATTTAAAATTTACTCACCAAATACTGCACACTGTACTCCAAAAGCATTAAGAATTGGTATCATGTGCCGTCCTTTCGTGGTTGTACTTAAGAGTGAAGGATTTAAACAGTCACCACTAAAAAGGATCAGGGGATTAAGTGCTTTATACTGTTTTAATGCAGTAGCAAATCTGTTAAAAGATTATTTGTGAAATAAGTAAAATTCAACGAAAAATGAGGAAATATTTTAAAGTTACACATACCTAAAGCTATGCACATCTAATTAGTAGGATGAAATATCTGCTTTCAATACATCATGTATTTTCAAACATTTAACATTTGAAACAGTTCGACAATTATTTCTTGTCACAGCCACCTAAGTTTGTACAAACAGATAATAAATATAATAAAATGCTAAAAGACTGTTTGAAGTAAACATGTTTTCTGTCTGCTGAATTCAGATTAGAACACAAGAAATGGGAATAACAGTAGACCAAATGCCCCATTCAGCCTGATCCACCATTCAACGGTGATCTTCTGCTTCAACCCCACTTTACCACCCATCTTCACATCCCTAGGTTTCCTGGAAGAATAAATATAAAAAGCTTAAAATATATTCTATGACGGAACATCCACAACATCAGAGTAGAGGATTCCAAAGTTTCACAATCCTCTAAATGCAGAAATTTCTAATCCCAGTGTGCATTTCCTTATCCAGAGACCGTGCACCTGTCCTTTTAACCACAACCTGTAACTGTAATAATTGTAAGTGTAACTGTAAATGATGTCATGCAATATCACGACAGTTATTTCAAAATCCTGTCCAATACTTTACCAAAGACATCAAACATTAAATAAACTACTCATTTCAATAAAAAAAGTTAATAAGGCAAATAATATTCAATCATAGAAGGATCCAATATGACTGCTGCAGTGTCCAGACATTAGAAGAGCATATATGAAAATCTGGGGCCTTTGTGTTCTGACCAGTCTGAAGCTACACTCCCCTCCCCTAACCCTCAGAGCAATAGGGCTGGACCTCAGATTTGGCACTAGAAGAACAACATAAAGTGCCAATAGAAGATCTTGTTAAATATGATTATCTAGCACAAAAAAAGAGAGTGACTAGTCATAGAATCACAGCATGATTCAGTGAAGGAAGTTATTCAACCCTTTGCCAGCTGTTGGTGGAACTTTCCAATTAGTTACATTCCACTCTTTCTTCATAACTGTAAATTATTTATCTTCAAGAATTTATATAATTCCCTTTTCAATGTTAATTATGAATGTGCTTCCATCATTAACTCAAACGTACATTGGAAAATCACATCAACTCACTGGGCTAAATCTTTTGGTTAAGTGTCAGTCTCACCATGTTTCATGAAGTGTTATTCTATGCAAATCCTAGCCATCTTTCTTACCATATCATATCAAACAAACCTTATTTAGTTGCAGCTAAAATGACAGTCGATCAGGCAGGTGATGTAAAGTGAAACATATGTCACAAATGCGAGATGCTACTTACAATGAAGTGTCAGCTATGACACCCACGTGACCTCAAGAGGTTTTCATTTTCCTTACCCTTCCACTGGGTCCACGGCTGGAGTGGAAGGAACTGCCCTCCAGTACAATCTGTTAGCCTCAAAGTCTTTGGAAGCATTTATAGCTAGGGACCAGACATACTGAATTTCCTGACCATTTGCAGAATCACCCTCGCTGGCTTGAACTTCCACAGGGTTGACAGTCACAGGCAGAATGGATGTGAAGGTTTAAGCTAGGACCATACCGATGGTCTTGGTGGACTTATCCAACTTTTGATCCAGTTTAATGAGTATCTCTGACAAACCTGTTTATTGCTCCTTTGGCTTTCTGTACATTTTAATTCAGTAATTAATGAACTACATTATGGAGTTCTCCTTTGCCTGGGAACAAGCAGGTGCCTGGGCTACAGCAGTCCAAATGCCGATGACTGGGATGCTACTTCTCCAATCATATGCAGAAATGTGTCAGTGATGCGCTCACCAGAACGTGCTTCCAACTCTAATCACCGAGACGTCAGCATCGGAGCTGGTAGAGGGTGCAGGAGAAGGCCATGCCAGTGCTTTGTCTGAGGGATTTGTGTTTTCTTCCTCAATTGGAGAAGCTTCAGGACAGAGGCTGTGTGGGTGTCACCTCACTTCCAGAAGGCAAGAGAGAGAATGAGTTTCACAACAGGACTGAAAACTTGTGCATGGTAAGAATGCACTCAGAGTGTTTCTAATGAGCAGCACTGAATCTTATTTGGTTGCTGAGACACGTGGTGATAACAAGACGTCCATGAGTAGTCAAGTTCCTCTCACTCCAACAAAAAGTTTCTCTCCTCTCAGGGAGTGACAGCAGATGTCCACCAGTCACCCAATATAAAAGTCTTTTCCCTCTCTGCCCTATTGTAGATTGTCATCACCTGGAATGAGACAAAGGCAGGGATTCTGCAAGATCAAAGTGGAAGGTAGAACTATTAGTGATGGTGCAGGTGAAGGGGAGATGTCCCGAGTGAGAGAGAAACACAGAGAGCATGTGGGGGAAGGAGGTGAGTGTAAAGATATTGAGAAAGGATGCTGCACGTGTTATGACTTAAAAGAAAGTGCCATTAATTGTGCCGCAGTGTCATACAAATCGTCACAAAATGTATAAAATCACAATAAGATTACCAAAATGACAAATATTACCGGCTTCTATTCAGCACAAAAGCAATTCACACCACGTTTCTTCAATAACAGACAAAAAGACTATTTATTGTAGCATATAAATTTAACAAGAGCAGTGAAAATAAATTTCTTCTCATTTACCCAATTTAATTCATACCCTTTCAAAATCCCAAAAACATATTCAATCACAATTGACAACTGGTTTAACACATACAATGGCTGCAAAAAAGAATACAGACAGGGCAAATAAAATTCTACAGATCAAAAAGGCCAGACCACAAGGTGAAAAAGTTACTATTTTCACAGTTCCTTCGATTTTTGTAACAGTGGTAAGCCATGAGCCTTGGTAAGAGGTGGGTGCAGTAACAGAGTGAGTGGTTGTATGGTAACAGCGACATGTGCTTTACCCTTACACAGCACAGCAGGTCAGTACAGAAAGCCATACATTGCTGGTCCGAGGTGACAGACAAGCTTCTATGTGACTGCTTAGAGTCAGAGGACCACTCCATATTCAAAAACTCAGCAGCCAACCTAAATGAGTATGCCACTACCATCCAGGTCTGAGCTGTTCAAGTCGGGTGACCCTGACCTATACAGGAAATACGGCACGATCTTCGCAAAGCTGTCAGGGATGCCAAGAGACAATATCGGATTAAACTAGAGTGTCCAAACTAACTACACATTGACAGTGGCAAGGCTTACACAATATAACAGGCTACAAAGTGATATGAAGTAGAATCGCTGGGAACAATGCATCCCTCCCTGATGAACTCAAAGCATTCTACACACGTTTTGAACAGAAGAAGGTAACTGAAATGATGTCACCTACCCTGATGGCCTCAGGTGCACTTGTACCCACACTCACTGCTGCCGACATCAGATTGGCTTTCTTGAGGGTGAACTCATGGAAAGCCACCGGTCCAGACAGAGACCCTGGCCATGCACTCAGATACTGTGCAGACCGTCTGGTGGGAGTATTTGCAGACATCTTTAACCTCTCCTTTTCCACCTGCTTCAACAATATCTCCATCATCCCGGTGTGAATGAAAAATCAGGCACCTGTGGTGTGGGGTCTTGATTTGGTTTATTATTGTCATGTACCGAGATGCTGTGACCTTCTTCCTGTATTGCTGAGTTTTCCTCCAGACAGCGGATATCATACTGACCCCAGGTGTCAACTTCATACCAGGCTGGCACGGTCTGGCATTGTGGTCTCCTCTGGCACTGCTGAGAAAAGATAAGAACCTTTTCGTTCCCCATCCAGTCAACCATGCCCTCCAGGATCCTGTCAGCAAAGCTGGACCCAATTCTCCTCTTATCAGCTATCTCCTATGTTGTTCTTCACACAGTGGAACTATGAAGGGCAATTCCTGGTTTGCATCAATTGACCTGGTGCATAAGTAGGCTTTAAGTATGGTAGTAGTGATGGGAATGATGGAAGATCCAAGCACTGGCATTTCCGCTGCTGGTGAATGCAAGAAATCACAAACTGCACCCTAGAATTGAAGTGCATACTTGATGAGGTGAGCAGTGTAAAACTGTGTGAGAAAACTAGAGCTCATAGTGAAACCCTCCATGAAACTCCCTGAAACAAACACTTAGCCAAACTTTAGGTCTGGATTTTATAATCACATTTATTTGGGTACAGGAATATAGGAGACTGGAAAGTGTACAAAGTCGCTGTTCTCCAGCGCCATCTTACTATATAAAAGACAGGATTAAAAACAAAGCATGAATAAAAGAAACAGCCAAAAGAAAAAGGAAACATCTAGATAACTCCCCATGACTTCCATGAGTCCTCGCCACCAGGAAAACAAAGCCACAATGTCCATCCCTCAGTCTGCAAACATTCAGGTCCCCAAAGACCCCACACACTGCCGCAGCCAAACGCCAACACCATCAGGTACGTGGGTCCAGCCATAGCCTGGAGCCACACCACCACTGTTGGAACTGTGGCGCCATCTTGCCTCCATTGACATTGCTGCTGCTAAGAGTCCACACTGGGCCAATCTCGGCAATGCAGCTGCTGCTGAAGCAGCTGGGTCCAAACTGGGCTCAAACCCAACACTGGTCCTGCCACATCGAAGCAACCGGTACCATTTCCGGCTTAGATTGCTGCTGCTGCCTCCTCCTGGGACTGCCATTTCAGCAAAAAAAAAACCCACTCCTGCCAACCCCCAAGAAGGAACTGCTCCTGCCACTGCTGCTACTCTAGGAGACCATTACAGCCACTGCCAACACTGCTGGGAATGGGATCGCCCATCTCTGCTGATACTCCCTGGAATGAGACTGCTCCCGCTGCCGCCGACACTCCCAGGAAGGGGTCCTCTCCCACCGAAAAAGGAAAGAAAGAGCAAAAGTAAAAGAAAACAAAAGGAAAATGTAAGCGGGCGAGCCCAAGCTCAAGACCCAGGCCTGACTGCTGTTACTAGGAAAATTCAGCCTTGAATGTTTAAAACTAGAATTATTTTTCAAAAGGATTTTTCATGATATTTCAGCTTCAA